ATAGGATGATCGGATAGTCAAGGAATGCTTCCTTCCCTTGGTGCCATCTAAACTGATGTCTAAATGCTGAGAAGGAACTGGTTCTTCGAAAGTCACAAGAAGTATGTTCTTTGAAGAGAAAACAGAAAGAACAAAGGTCCTGGAATTGGGAAGAAATTTGGGGACAAATTGGGATGCACAAGGCGTAGAAATGAGGTAAGTGAGGTTATATTCACTAGCCCATTCATTCCTCATACCCCTGTTTTCCAGCTATTGATGCTGATGCCTCCAGAGCCATGGACCAAGATGTTGGCTTTATGTTGTTCAGTGCCTCAAATAAAATGCTTTCTGGCTCCAATTCAGTAGCATTTGTGAGGCTGTAATGGAATTCCACTACACATTATGGTTCACAAAAGTTAAACTAGCAGAGTGATTCCAATAGCCTTGGCGCCTGGAGAACTATTCCAAACATGATGGCAGAAGATCTTCTTTGGGGGACAGAGGGACAGGGAGGATTTTCCTCTGATTAAATGTGTTTGTAGGGAAAAGTCAAAATTGTTTTGTGGGTAAATCTGAGCACACAATTGCCACAGTTTGGCTGGGCACAAGTCACAAGCCACTGAAGCAGGAACAAACTTTATTTCCGAACTCCCGCCAACGCCACGCACTCGGCCTTCTCCCGATGCACACCACACCAACCGGAAATCCCTCCTCTGGAAACCCCTCTTCCCGCACTTCCCCAACCAATGGAACTCTCCCCAACCAATGGGAACTCTCCAGGGGGACAGCAGGGGTCTAATATACAATTGAATACACAGCTTAACATAACCATTATCCTCTCAATGGCTTGCTGGCTTCACCTCTCAACCACTCTGTTCTGGCAAAAATGCCATGCGTCATTCCCACTCGGCTATGGCTCTCAGCACACAATTACAGCAAAGGTATGACTTAGTCAAAGCAACGTACTATGTGAACTTTTGTTCCAGCATCTATAAACTATTTTAGTTATAGTGAATAATCTTCATTAATATTTAAGTCTATCATTCCTTGTCTACAATTATGAAGTTTAAAAAAAAGCTTTGAAAATCAAATCTTTTTCATAGGACATTGGCAGGGATGTGAAGCTATTTATAGTCTTTATCACAATTAGTGTTGATGTTCATACCTCTTGAATGGCAGGGGTATTAATATACTTAATTAAAGACTGCTTCCCAGCACCCACAAAGCATATTAGATAATATATAATACATCTACCATTTTACCATATAAAAATTAGAACTACGATGATTCTGCAAAATAGATAGCACAAAGTCTGCAAAAGCAAATTTGCACTCATAAATCCCAGACTATTTTTATATTTTTAATCTTATCATAACCACTTCAGGAGGATCTGCCAATATTTCAAGGACTGAATGATCAAGAGGAAAGAATGACTGGCTCTCTGGTTCACATGCACAATGGTGAATTAGGCTTAGCCTCTCTGAAGCACTGGTATACATTATGTGCATTGTAATTGTCCACCAAATTTCAGACTGCAAAAGAAAAAAAAAACAGTAAAGGGATAGCATATTGATGAAAATACACTGTGAACTCTTATCCTAGTGTCAGTATGAAGAAATTGTTTATTTGGGTCCAAGGTGGCCCTAGTAACCCAGCACATAGCATAGTAACTAACACATACTAGACACCCTAAATATTTATTGAATTGTGAGTCCATCCTTAATACTTGGCCACAATGTTACCCATCATGCTTGCTATGTTGAATGAAAACTACACATCAAATCCTGATGCAATTTCTTGTGAGTTCTTTGCCAGTTCAAGGTTGGATGCCCTTCAAACAGATGTTTGCCATTCCTAAGATTCGCATGACTCTCTGATGGCAAGAAAAAGCAGGTTTCCTGCCAAAGGCCAATTTATATTTTCTTGAGAGAGTCAGCGCGCTCTCTCTTTCTCTCTCTCTCTTTAATAAAGAATGCCCAATTAATAATCCCGTGACTCTCTTCTGATCCAAAGAAACCCTGAATCATTTAGAGTCTCCACCAGCAACCCTAATTAATCTGTTTTTGGACTCTTTCTACTCACATCTTTTCTCTTTTCCCTGTCCTCCGTAACTTCCACAGAGACTCATAAATACATATCAACAGAGAGCATTCATTTGATTCTCATGTTTTCTCTTCTATTGACTAAGCCAAGGGCATTAGGAGAACCCACAGTCGTCCCAGCTGCTGTGGCTACAGCTACTCCCCCTCCAACAGAACCCAGAGAGTCAAGCTCTGCTGACAAAATCTCCCAGAGGTGAACTGCAAGTGTCACTTACTGAGCTGAAAGAGACAGAGAGCTTTGTTGGCCACACACAGTCAGCTCAGTTTGACCAAAAAACAAAAACTCAAGTGCATCTTCAAAAGCTAGAGACAAAGAAATTATGCAGAATACAGAAAATGAAAGCGACATGTTTGATACATCTTGTGATCTGTAAAATAGCACATCCTGATGTTTATTTAACCAACAACCAACAGGAACATATTTAAGACACTTTAGGGTCTTGGAAAACATGACTCTTCTATACAGATTCTTAAGTTAGAGGAATGACAGTAAATGGGATGGGGCAATGTTTTCAGGTTTAACAATAAACATCTGTGGGGTTCTTTGAATCTTATTTTGTCCTTTTTTTTTTAAGTTTAAAAACCTTTAAAAATACAAACAAGCATTTAAAAACAAACAAAAATCCTGTCTTTGTAACATAACTATAGCTAACATCTTTTTTCCCCCAAAAAATGTGATATTATTGAGATTAGCTTAGAAAAAAGAAAATATCTGTGTGGATCTCAATGGGTCTCTGCAAATGAAAATGGTGTTGATGGGAGTTTTGTGTTACGTGTGGCATTTACAGTACCTAGGAAGACCAAAAAGGAAAACTCCAACTATAGAAGGACTCCAAGCCCCTGCAAGAGAGGAAAAGAAATGTGGAACTAATGATCAGAGCTCCAGGCCCCAGACATTTAAGCAATGTTGCTTCTTTTCCTGAACCTAAACTTAATTAGCAACTAGGGTGTTCTTCTATGACTCAAGCAGGTAGTTATGAGACTGAGTTATCAGAGTCATATTTCAACTCTCAGGTTGGCTGAAAGACCTCACTTTGGGAGACAAAAAGGTTCTTCCACTTGGAAGAGCTGTAGCCCTCAGCTAGGCTTGGTAGGAGGGTCTTGGTGCTTTCTGGAGCCACAGCAGAGCCCATTGGAAGCAGCAACCACTAGTAGTAGGGAAAGAGGTTAGAACAGGGGCTGGGAATAAATTAGGTAGAAGAATCAGCAGCAGCATTAGCCATGTAGAAAATAAGGGAAAGACAGAAAGCAGAGGAAAGGAACAGAGCCCTTCCTGGCCACACACATGGGTAGGTTTCAACAGATCAATAAGCCGGTTGGTGGAATGAATTGGATCACAACTCCCAATTACAGTAAAATCCAATGGGGTGGACTGGATTCCATGTGTAACTATGGCCAATGTGACCTGAGCAAAAAAAAAGAGTTTATTGAGGGAAAACGATGCTAACTCACCTTGCCAATAATAAAAGTAATGCCAGAACAGAATATATACCCTCATCCCTAATTTAAGTCCTATCTAATCACTTAGATCTTCTGTGATCCTCACTGCCTGTGATCCTCACTATGACTTTCAGCAGAAGCTCATTTCCAAGTGTGCCTGTGAGATCAGACACCAGCTTTGAAATTTGATGAAATATACATATCCAATGGTAACTCAAAGGAGAAATGTTGAGAGTAAAAAAGGAGAGAGTCTCCAAACTGGGACCATTATCTTCTTGTCTCTTGGATATTGTTTATTCAACTAACAGGTACTGACCTCCCCCAAAATAACCCATCCTCCTCTCAAGATATTCAACTTTTATACCCTCAAATGGGGGATCCTTTAAGAGTAAATGGGGTTTGGAGGTGTGTGCATTTGTGTGGAGTATAACCAGGCATGAGACCAGAGAGTAGGTCACATATGGAGAACATCAAGGCTAAAATTGGGCACTGGACCAAGCACATTTGAGGTAAGAATGCCAACTCAGTTTGTATAGGAAATGGGGAAAGAAGTGGTTACATTTCTGTTTCAACTTCTTTTAGTCTACAATGATAGGATCAAGGATAGGATCTCTCTTCATAAAGCAAGATAAAAAAAAAATCAAACACCAGCATGCCAGCAGAATTGGACAAGGCCACCCAACTTGGTGGCTTGCACCCTTTGAGATCAGCTGCTACCTTGGGAGCAGAGACTGGGCACCCGGGAGCTGCAGGGTGGCAAGAGGGTAGAAGACCATACCGTGTGCAGGAAGGAATGAACATAAGGAAAAGAGACCACTGAGAAGGATGGCCAATGATAGCTAAATTCCCAGGTCTGTCTGCAGGTCTGATGCACATGTGGACAGGACAAATCATCAGCTGATGAGCCCAGCATTCCAGGACAGAGTCTTCCATAGTTCAGGATGTAATGGCTAACATGACAAAAATTTCACACACACACACACACACACACACACACACCCCACATGAACTTTTCACTTCTAGCATTTTACTATCACCCAAACAACACAAACACCACCAATTTGGGTAGTCTTTAGAATGCTTCTATTTTTTCAATGATATTCCTAAAACTTGGGCCATATAAGAACAAGTCTCTGTGCCTGACTGTAACATGCTAATAATATTGAGGCAATTACAGCCTTAGCTCCAGACAGGGAAACTATCCACCCATGTGTCTCCCCATGAGGAGAACTTAATAGAGAAGGGAAAGGCTAATGATTAAGTTTCCCTATAATCTAAATGTTCAGACATTAGAAAAGGCCATGCTGTGTTCTGAAACTGGTCATGTTGATGTCCTAATTCTTTCTGCAAAAACAAGTATGCCCCCTCCCTTCTGTTCAAGTCTCAGCCTGTTCCACTTGGAATTATAAAGATAGAGAGACCACCTCCTGGCATAGAGAAGCCTGATTAGCCTATGTTTACAATTGCATTCAAACTCACCAGTGTCCAGGAAGATGGGTAGCAAAACTGGTCTCCAGGGGTATGTGCCAGAGACAAAAGCCAGCCAAGACCAGTGTCTGCTTTTACTATTTCTCTTGCTTCAGAAGTAAACTGGGTTGGATGGCTTCAAGAGAAGAGATGCTTTTCTTGCCTAGAATTCCAGAAACAAAACAAAAACTGGATGAAAGCAGGACTTGCCTCTTTGGTCCAATTAGTCCATCATGTGTACTCAAGATCCAACCACAGCCAACATTGACCAATGTGTACCCTGGGTCACTGGGGTGAAAGCAGGACCATGTGGAATACATGGTGCAACACAATCTCACTCCTGGGGTAAAACATGAGTTCCTTAGGAAGTCCATAGAGAACAAAGTTTTAGTATATTTTTCAAAAAAATCATTTGGGACTGAGGGTATGATTCATTGGTAGAGGTGCTTGCCCAGCATGGCCAAGATGCTGGATTTGATCCCCAATACTGCAAATAAAACAAACAAACAAATCACACATTCAATAAATGTTTTCATTTGGGCCCTAAAGAGAGGGATCTGTAGTTGGTACATGGTCCCTGCTTCCTATTTAGCCCAGATTTGAGGCTACACTGGACATGACTTCAAAAACACTGGCTTATCTTTGCAAAACCTCCTAGCTAAAAAAATGAGAGTGAGAAAATTGGGCCAAGTGTTTGTAGGAGAGCAAAACAAGATAATCTATGTGAATGAAGTGTTTAGCCTGCTGCCTTGTTCTAAGTGAATCATCATTAAGATCACTGTTTAATAGGTCACAGTGGGTATGCTGGAAACTCTGCACTGGACACCAGAATGACCTTATCTGTGGATAAAGGGCCTTTGGCAGGTAACCAGACCCAGACTCTCAAAGGTCTGCCTCCCAGCTCCAGAGAGCCCCAGAGTTCTCACTGAAGCCCAGCATTCACAACACACACAAAGCCAGGAGGAACCCAGCCACCACCACTCCTGGCAGACCATTGCCCCAGGCAGCAATAAAGGCTCCCCGAGGCCTTTTGTCAATTGTCCCCAAACAGAATATAAACATCTCCTCGCAGCCATTCAGTGGACATCCTGTTTACATGGCGAGTGGAGATTTGGTTGCTTTCCCTCTTCTCTTTTTAAAGGCTGTAATTATGTTTACCCAAGTCCAGCAGTAGGTGCCAGGAGGGCTGTGAGTTGATTTCCCTGGCTAACACTGCAGACAGCTGGCGGCAGCCCCACGGACCTCTGCATCCCAGGCAGAGGGCCAGCCCTCTACACACACCAACACTCTCTCTACAAAGATGCCCATTCTTACTGAGCTGTTTTCTTTGTATGCATGCTGGGATGCTCTGGATAATTGTCTAGCAAATGCCAAAATATGCCAGTGCTATAAACTTTCTGGAGAAACAGATGATAAAAGAAAGGGAAGAGAAGGATACAGGGCTCTGTGGAAGGCCTCCTGGGTACCATATTGTCTCAGACAACGTCCATACAATGGAGTTATGTACATGACTCAGTTTTTACAGATAAGGAAACCAAGTAAGCATAAGGTCACTCTCCTAGTAATTAGTAGAACTGGAATTTAAATCAGATCCATCAAGCATTGTACTCTGTGTTCTTTTGATTCCAGGAGAGAAAGTGAGTTTTAGAACCCTTATGGACTTTTATGGAAGCCAAATGAGTTACTTAGACTCAGTAAGTCCCAACATATTAATCCATTTTTCCACCCACTGTAATTTATTTTTAAACATAAATCCAATGCATTTAACATAATGTAGAGTTTTTTTCTCTCATATGTCAACAACCTTCCCATCAATGATTCCTGAAAACTCTGGACAAAATTGAAACAATAACAACAACAACAACAAACTTCTGAGGATTTTAGAAAGTAAATAACAACAGGTTGCAGAGAGAGATGTAATTTGAAATCGGTATAGGAATAAATTTCTCCTTTGGTGAGTTGGTTTGTTTTATTTTGATTTTTACCAACTTTCCCCTATCCATTGGCCATCACCAGAAAATGGTGTGACATTTGCAGCTAAAATTCTGACTGAACGTTTTCTATCTTTTTTGGTTAGTAGATACAGAAAAAAGCATGAGTAATCATAGCCAACTGCTGGGAAGGAAGGAGGGCAACAGGAGAGGAGAGAACCAAAGAAGAGACCACTTGTATTCTGTGCAAACAATCTGCATGGGTCCCCGACTAAGGCCCAAAACACATACATGTGGGATGAACTCAAAGGAATACAGCCAAGGCTTACAAAGCAACACTGAGATTTGAACACAGAAGTAACACAGAACTTACAACCTGAGTCCTTACAGAGTATTTAAAAAAAAAAAGCATCATACTCTTCAGAAGTATAAAATAAAGCCCAGAAAGGAGCCTGGGATAAAGGGTAGCATCTGATTGAGGTATGAGTAAATGTCTAACTCTGCTCAACACTTTATCTTTAGGGCTCCCGTGACCCCTCTCAACTCTTAGGCTCTCTGCTCCCTTCAGGTAGATGGTATTCTATCACCAACTTCCTCCTGAGGTTTAACAGGCAGCTTTTACAATAGCCTCCAGTGATTCCTGCCTTCTGGTAGTTCTTGCCCCATCCCCTGCAGTGTGGGCTGGATTAAGTGATGAGCTTCTAACAAATGGAAAGGGTAGAAGTGATGGGATACCAGTTGCAAGAATAGGTTATTAAAAAAAAATCTCAATCTCTCTCTCTCTCTCTCTCTCTCTCTCTCTCTCTCTCTCTCTCTCTCTCTCTCTCTCTCTCTCTCAGAGGGAAACAAAGTGCCATATTGAAAAGAGCCTTATCGAGAGGCCACAGGTCAAAGGACCTGTCTCCCATCAGTGAGAACCTGAGGTCTGCAGACAGCCATGTGATTGAACTTGGAAGCAGAACCTACTATTTGAACATGAGATGACTCCAGCTCTGGCTAATATCTTGATTGCAGCCTCATGAGAGATGGTATAAATCAGAAGCATCCAGCTAAGCCATTCTACATATATAGAACCCTACCCCACAAAAGTTGCTAGATAATAAATTTTCTTGTTTGAAGCTATTAATTTTGAGGTTAATTTGTTAACAGCAGTGGCTAACTCATGCACAGAGAACAGACCCTAAAGAGAAAGGTGTAGAAGAAGACCACAGCATACAGTCCCCCAAGGCAGGCTACTGCCACCATCTAATCCCTGCAGACCCCAGGTGGATTGACTGTGTACTCATATTACATCTTTAGAAATCTATAACATGAGCTTGGTGCAGTGGCACACACTTCTAATCCCAGCTACTTGGAAGGCTGAGGCAGGATGATCGCAAGTTCAAGACCAGCCTCAGCAACTTAGCAAGACCTGTCTCAAAATAAAAAATAGAAAGGGCTGAGGTTGTAGCTCAGTGGCAGAGCACCCCTGGGTTTGATCCCCAGCACTGCATTAAAAAAAAAGTAAGAAATCTATAAAATATTAGATAATATCATTAGATAAATTAGATAGCTCATATGATTACATAATCAGAAAAATATTAGATAAAATAGAAGATATTTTCTAAGAAGGCATTCACAATTGCAAGCTTTCATAACTCATAAGAACCTGACCTCAGGGAAAGATAGGACTTTAAAAGAATGACTTGATAAAGGGAGGGATGGATAGAGTCTGGGACAAAGCAAGATCCAGTTGGCTGAAGCCCTGATCCTCAAAAAGAAGTGATCAACAGCACAGCGAATAATACCATGACTAATGTGACCAAGGACAGGTGGGAAGAACCTGTGCTGGATAACAGTTGGTGCACACATCCAGAGATGTCTAGTCCATGGCTGCAGAGACATCATTGACCCTGCAAGTCAATCCACTGAGATTCCATTCCCTTGGCTGAAAATGGGAGAATACTATGCAGTCTGCCAGGGTGCCGGGGTTCATCCAGCTGGAGACCTGGGATCATGAACGGGAAAAGAATCCAAAAAAGAACATTGATCCAATTGTGTGGGCCAACATGACAAGTCCTGAACAAAGCCTGTGGTTTTGTGGGCTTATAGAAGCTTCAGTACTCACCCCAGGAATGCCAAGTGAATGCTCATTGCGAAAGAGCAAATCTAGGCCTCACAGTGCTATGAAATAAAGGTTCAGAATGTACTCCTCTCTGTGGTTAGGAACTGTGGTAGACTGAATACCAGCTCCCAAATATGCCCATATCCTAGTCCTAGAACTTGCAAATGTTATCTTATCTACCAAAAGAATTTTGCAGATGTGATTGAGTCAAGCATGCTGAAATGAGGAGATTATCCTGAATTTCCTGGGTGGGTGTGATGTGATCCTTTTAAGATGGAGACAGAATGACTTTGAGTCACAGGAGAAAGAAGTATAAAGATAGAAGCAGAGACTGCCGGGATGTACTCTGAGGATGGAAAGAGGGGGACAGGGGATCACCAGATGGGGAACATAGTCAGCCACTAAAAGCTGAGAAAAAAAAATCAAGAAAACAAAGTCTCCCCTTAGAGTTTTCAGAAGGAACCAGCCCAGAGGACACCTAAGCTGCAGCCCTGTGAAACTCACTCATAGTTCTGACCTCCAGAACTGTAATCTAATTAATTTGTTTTTTTCAGCTACAAATGTGGTGGTGAATTGTTGCAGCAGCCACAGGAAACGAATGCAGAGACCATCAGGAACTAGTCAGAGAAGAGCATGGAGGTAAATTGGAGCCTCAATTCCTGGAGCCCAAGCAGAATTGCAGGAAATAACAATTGCAAACCAACAAAAATTCATGTGCCAGGAATCCTCATTGAATTACGTCCATCATTAAGACTAAAGACTAGGAGCCACCATTATTTCCCTGTTCATTATCTTGTCTGCATCAAGAATATTTCCTCAGAGAAGCTCTAACACTCACCTTCTATTAAAAGGTCTGAATGGTAGAAGGGAAGAAGGAAACATACCACATGGAATTTGCACTATAGATGCCCACTGCTCTTTAGGGCCAATGTTTACAGCAGAAATTTTGCTTGTGAAGAGTTTCAGACATAGGCTGGGCTACTTCCTACTCTGCTGCAGTGCTCCTTAGTAGGATTTATAGATCAGGGCTGCAGGTGTTCCTTCGTTGGTGGCTGAATCACTCCAACTTCCACCTCCATCTTCATATGGATGGCCTTCTCTCTATCTGCTGTGTATCTCTGATAAGGACAGTTATTATTGGATTCAGGCCCACTTATTAATCCAAAATCATCTCACCTTGAGATCCTATTTAATTACTTTTGAAAAGACCTTTTTTAAAAAATATTTTTTAGATGTTGATGAACCTTTATTTTATTCATTTATTTACTTGTGTGCTGAGAATCAAACCCAGTGCCTC